AATTGTCTGAGAATGCCTTAGTTACAATATGTATATGGTAGACAGTTTTTCAGTTAGAGTAAAGTATGTGCATCCTTTCACCATAGTACTGCTGCCTCCCGTATACCTAACGTCTGTTTAACACCAAAAACATCTTCCTTGTGTATGTGTTGGATCAGGTGGATAGCTCCTGTTCAGTGTTTATAAATCTAGCTAGTTGTGAAGCTATAAGTTTTTTTTACAATGAGCAATTTTACTGCATTACTTCTATGAGTTCTAGAAGAAATCAAGATTATCAGAAAAAAACTCCATGTAAGGTAACTACAAAAAACTCCATGTATGGTAACCTACACCAAGGAGTCTAGTTTACTACTGGGAATAAGGCTAAACCTCACCTGTTGCGTGTTGGTATATCTAGTATTTTGCAAGCGCTATTATATGTCCATCAAGTCCAAGACCAGTTTTTAAAAATCTTGAAAATGCATGATATCATGGCATATAAGTTGTAGTCCTTACTATTTGCTCAGCATACTGGGCCGGTGAGTTTCGGCTGCTCACGTAATACGCCAGAAGGTTTTTCATTTTCTTTCTCTTGTCAAACCCTTTTCTGCCTCAATTTTAGGCTCACAGTCACTTGAAACGATTTCAAGAAATGTGAAGATAATTTGATTTCTCTAAGTGGTCCAGGGCTTGGTGGAGTATCGCGTGAGCGAAGTCCAGCCCTGCTTTTGCGATCTGGCAAAGCCCTATGATCAAATTTTGAAGAGAATGAAACCAAGAATGAGAGGATCCTGCAGCGCTTCAAATCTGGATTCATTATTCAGAATTAGGATGAACAGTCGATACTCAGACCATTATATGGTGGATGTTCACGATGGAATTCTGACTTCAGTGAAGCTAACCTATTAAAAAATTATCCTGTAAATTGCTACATCCAATCTGTGCTGGGATGACAATTTGAAGTATTCGAATCACTGTGAGATGATGAAAGTGAATACAGTAATGGTTTGAGAGCAGCCTTCACAAACGATCTTAGATCTCCGGACAATCCATGCTGAATGATAGTTGACGTGAACATCTCAGAAAGTACGATCCAGTGGTGGATCATGCATATTTTGGTTTTTTGTCGTCTTTACGATGAATTTCTCGGGGGAAGTGTGCAGACTTTTGAACCGCTTCCTAGAAGACTAAAATTTAAAGCTTTGAGACCCATATACGGGTCATTCTAAGCTCTGGTCCAAAATAATAGTTGAAAAAGTTGCTTGTTCTATACGTGTTAAGCACTTAAACACTTGAAACAGGTTTCCTTTGTAAAAAAATGTCCTTACTCTGAAAAAAAAAAAGATCAGGTACCTTTTGCGTAGATATGAAAGTTCGGCTGATTGGAAAGTTCGGCTGATGAGCAATGTACGATTATTCAACCTTTCACTTTTAACGAATAGTTTAATTTTATTTTTCCGGTGTATTCAGAGATCTCTCTGCAGTTGCCCAGCGCAGGCAGGGCAAATTTTATCTTAGTCTATAGAAAAGCTGGGATAGGGGCAGAAATGCAACAGTGCACCATTGCTCGTCATAGTGTGGTTTTTTTCTAACAGAATGAAGAGTAAAAAATCTCTTGGAAAGGTTCGCACCCTTTTCCTGGAGTCTTGCGATACAAAGAATTTCAGCGCATTTGAGCATCATTTGAAATTTCGGTGTCATTTGCTCATTCACAAGCACAACATCTGCGCAGTTTCCATGACTCATTCGTCAATTTCCATCAGCTCCAAGTGGCCGTCAACATGGTAGGTTTTATGATTGTGAAAGGAAATCAGATAAAAAGCAGTACTTTTCATTTCCCTTTTTTTGTAATGACTACTTGAATTATGTCAGCTGGCTACTGTGTAAATTTTGACAAATGAAAAAAATCTTCAGGCAGACAAAAACATATCTCCCAAACGCACGCGTGTAAAAATCAACGTTGGAGGTACAGTTTTTGAGACCTACCTTTCTACTCTCACAAAAGTGAATGATAGTGTAAGTTGGAGCGTGTTTTCGTGTTTATCACTATCATTTGATATTTGAAGGTGCTCTCCGCTATGATAGCCGAGGAAATGCAAAATGGGGATGAACTGTTTATAGACAGGAATCCCCTCCTTTTTGCAAAAGTCAGAAAATTCATTTCGCAATCTTAGTATGAAGTTCTCAGAACTGTCCTATGACCTTTACCATATCACTGTAAGCCGGAATCTGTTTTTCTATGAACATATGAACACCTAATAAACACATATGAACACTGTCCAGAAGACAAACTCAACAACTTAGATTACTGATATAGTTTGAAAAAACTTGAGCATCGGACTCACCATACTCCGCCGAGCAGCTTTCGCAGTCGAATATCGTCACTGCATATTCTCAGTTAAAATGTGACTCGCGCGCCGGGACCTACATACTGAACTTGAATCCGTCACTCTATGTGGGCATGCCTAAGTCAATAGTAAGCAGTGCACGGAGATAGATTTTGTAAACTACATTTGAAATGTTTGAAATGGAGATGAGGATGATGAATCATCCTCATCTCCATTTGTTGAGTCGAAAAGATGCGAGAGTAAGCTACTTTGGTGCGTCATAAACATGAACAACCAATTTCTACTTCCCTTTTTCAAGAATTTGACTTCAAGAGCCATTCAAGCAGCTTTCCATTCCGGCTCAACTGTTTATTAGGCATAAGGCATACCTCACGCGATTTTAGTCGTCGCGCGATTTGGCACTGCACCGACTCTCCATAGCTGGTCGTAAACGCACTTTGCTTGGGCCAGACTTGCTGTGTTTGTTACAATTTACGGAATCTACGCATCCATACATCTGAGAACTTCGCATGCTTAATCTCTAGACATCTGGCAAATCGCCAAGTCGCGAGGATGTGGCGATTTCGCGAAATCGCCACATCCTCGCGAAGAGCCTAGATACGCGGTCCTGAGCGGTCGTGTTCTCATCACTCTCTCACTCACCTCCTTTTTTCTACCTTCTTGTCCTTTTTTTTACCAAATGTCAACACAAAGAATATCGGATTTAAGCTCATTAGCAAAAGTGATTTTCTCCACCGCATACTCCTCCTTGACAAAAATGCAGACACCTCCACCTTTGCTGCGCGTCCTGTCTATACGGTAGAAAGAATAAGGCATATCCGATATGATTTCAGAATCCGTGATGTTAAGATTAAACCAAGTTTCAGTAACACATAAAATGTCCGGAAAATAATAGGCTAAAAATGCGTGTAACAAATATATCTTATTAACTAGACTACGGGCGTTAAAGAGGAAACATCGAAGAATCCGAGCTGATAGACCGTGCCGGCTTAGGCGTTTTCCGGAAGATGTCGGTGAGGGAGTTCGGAGGTGTGCCGCAGCTCACTCTTATAAACAACCCACTCTCTAACGGGTTTGCCCTTATTTCTTTCTCGTGCCTGCTTTCTAAGCTCAAACTCTTGAGCTCGTTCTGACGGGGTCATACTTTTTACGTATGAAAATATTAGGGAACCCCGACCGTCTCAGAACGTGGGCATTCGAAAGGGCTTGGACCCAATGAGTGCGGGATGGGAAGACGACTTTGACGAGACGTGGTCTCGTTCCCTCATATTTACCCATCCTATAAATCTCGGTGGGCCAGCAGTCCACACTTAAAACGTCAAGGATGTCGGCCACGCCTTTTTCAAGCTCATCCCTCCCTTTCCAGCAGGGGTTTTACCGGCTTCGGATTCTTGTAATCCTGCGATAACGATGCTCCTTTGGCGCTTTTCGGTTTCCACATCTGGTGGAATTTTGTTTTTTCAAAGCGAGAAGCATTTTCTCAATGAGAGGATTGCTGTTCAATTTCAAAATGGAAGACACGATCTCATTGGCGGACATGTTAGCGAAATCATCCTCCTTTTTTTCGTTTCTATCCTCCAGAACTGCCGGTTGAGAAAGACTACTACTAACAGCATTTTTCCTAGTGATACGTGAGGCAGAAGGTTGAGTACTTGATCTACTCCCCGCGAGCCGGCATGTTGAACTATCGATTGAAGGATGAGAAAAAGAGAAGACAATGAAGAAGGAGGAGCAGTCAAGATATGAAATGATAATTGAAACGGGGGGATGAAATTGTGTTCGAGGAAATGAAGCTTCAAACACGATGGAAGCAAAAGAATTGGTAAAAAAAAGGACAAGAAGGTAGAAAAAAGGAGGTGAGTGAGAGAGTGATGAGAACACGACCGCTCAGGACCGCGTATCTAGGCTCTTCGCGAGGATGTGGCGATTTCGCGAAATCGCCACATCCTCGCGACTTGGCGATTTGCCAGATGTCTAGAGATTAAGCATGCGAAGTTCTCAGATGTATGGATGCGTAGATTCCGTAAATTGTAACAAACACAGCAAGTCTGGCCCAAGCAAAGTGCGTTTACGACCAGCTATGGAGAGTCGGTGCAGTGCCAAATCGCGCGACGACTAAAATCGCGTGAGGTATGCCTTATGCCTAATAAACAGTTGAGCCGGAATGGAAAGCTGCTTGAATGGCTCTTGAAGTCAAATTCTTGAAAAAGGGAAGTAGAAATTGGTTGTTCATGTTTATGACGCACCAAAGTAGCTTACTCTCGCATCTTTTCGACTCAACAAATGGAGATGAGGATGATTCATCATCCTCATCTCCATTTCAAAACATTTCAAATGTAGTTTACAAAATCTATCTCCGTGCACTGCTTACTATTGACTTAGGCATGCCCACATAGAGTGACGGATTCAAGTTCAGTATGTAGGTCCCGGCGCGCGAGTCACATTTTAACTGAGAATATGCAGTGACGATATTCGACTGCGAAAGCTGCTCGGCGGAGTATGGTGAGTCCGATGCTCAAGTTTTTTCAAACTATATCAGTAATCTAAGTTGTTGAGTTTGTCTTCTGGACAGTGTTCATATGTGTTTATTAGGTGTTCATATGTTCATAGAAAAACAGATTCCGGCTTACAGTGATATGGTAAAGGTCATAGGACAGTTCTGAGAACTTCATACTAAGATTGCGAAATGAATTTTCTGACTTTTGCAAAAAGGAGGGGATTCCTGTCTATAAACAGTTCATCCCCATTTTGCATTTCCTCGGCTATCATAGCGGAGAGCACCTTCAAATATCAAATGATAGTGATAAACACGAAAACACGCTCCAACTTACACTATCATTCACTTTTGTGAGAGTAGAAAGGTAGGTCTCAAAAACTGTACCTCCAACGTTGATTTTTACACGCGTGCGTTTGGGAGATATGTTTTTGTCTGCCTGAAGATTTTTTTCATTTGTCAAAATTTACACAGTAGCCAGCTGACATAATTCAAGTAGTCATTACAAAAAAAGGGAAATGAAAAGTACTGCTTTTTATCTGATTTCCTTTCACAATCATAAAACCCTACCATGTTGACGGCCACTTGGAGCTGATGGAAATTGACGAATGAGTCATGGAAACTGCGCAGATGTTGTGCTTGTGAATGAGCAAATGACACCGAAATTTCAAATGATGCTCAAATGCGCTGAAATTCTTTGTATCGCAAGACTCCAGGAAAAGGGTGCGAACCTTTCCAAGAGATTTTTTACTCTTCATTCTGTTAGAAAAAAAACCACACTATGACGAGCAATGGTGCACTGTTGCATTTCTGCCCCTATCCCAGCTTTTCTATAGACTAAGATAAAATTTGCCCTGCCTGCGCTGGGCAACTGCAGAGAGATCTCTGAATACACCGGAAAAATAAAATTAAACTATTCGTTAAAAGTGAAAGGTTGAATAATCGTACATTGCTCATCAGCCGAACTTTCCAATCAGCCGAACTTTCATATCTACGCAAAAGGTACCTGATCTTTTTTTTTTTCAGAGTAAGGACATTTTTTTACAAAGGAAACCTGTTTCAAGTGTTTAAGTGCTTAACACGTATAGAACAAGCAACTTTTTCAACTATTATTTTGGACCAGAGCTTAGAATGACCCGTATATGGGTCTCAAAGCTTTAAATTTTAGTCTTCTAGGAAGCGGTTCAAAAGTCTGCACACTTCCCCCGAGAAATTCATCGTAAAGACGACAAAAAACCAAAATATGCATGATCCACCACTGGATCGTACTTTCTGAGATGTTCACGTCAACTATCATTCAGCATGGATTGTCCGGAGATCTAAGATCGTTTGTGAAGGCTGCTCTCAAACCATTACTGTATTCACTTTCATCATCTCACAGTGATTCGAATACTTCAAATTGTCATCCCAGCACAGATTGGATGTAGCAATTTACAGGATAATTTTTTAATAGGTTAGCTTCACTGAAGTCAGAATTCCATCGTGAACATCCACCATATAATGGTCTGAGTATCGACTGTTCATCCTAATTCTGAATAATGAATCCAGATTTGAAGCGCTGCAGGATCCTCTCATTCTTGGTTTCATTCTCTTCAAAATTTGATCATAGGGCTTTGCCAGATCGCAAAAGCAGGGCTGGACTTCGCTCACGCGATACTCCACCAAGCCCTGGACCACTTAGAGAAATCAAATTATCTTCACATTTCTTGAAATCGTTTCAAGTGACTGTGAGCCTAAAAATTGAGGCAGAAAAGGGTTTGACAAGAGAAAGAAAATGAAAAACCTTCTGGCGTATTACGTGAGCAGCCGAAACTCACCGGCCCAGTATGCTGAGCAAATAGTAAGGACTACAACTTATATGCCATGATATCATGCATTTTCAAGATTTTTAAAAACTGGTCTTGGACTTGATGGACATATAATAGCGCTTGCAAAATACTAGATATACCAACACGCAACAGGTGAGGTTTAGCCTTATTCCCAGTAGTAAACTAGACTCCTTGGTGTAGGTTACCATACATGGAGTTTTTTGTAGTTACCTTACATGGAGTTTTTTTCTGATAATCTTGATTTCTTCTAGAACTCATAGAAGTAATGCAGTAAAATTGCTCATTGTAAAAAAAACTTATAGCTTCACAACTAGCTAGATTTATAAACACTGAACAGGAGCTATCCACCTGATCCAACACATACACAAGGAAGATGTTTTTGGTGTTAAACAGACGTTAGGTATACGGGAGGCAGCAGTACTATGGTGAAAGGATGCACATACTTTACTCTAACTGAAAAACTGTCTACCATATACATATTGTAACTAAGGCATTCTCAGACAATTGACCGGAAGTTTGCTGGTCATTCTTTAAACGAACGAACATCCGCAGCCCTTTATGGAAAGTGCTGCGCATGACTCCATTTTCAATCAGTGTGGCGTCAAATTCCTGCGGAAGTTCGTGTTTTCCGCGATTGAACTTCTATGATAATTTACATAATAACTGAAACCGCTGCAAATATGTTGTGTTCGGCGGAAGTTCCCTTTGGTTGTCTGAGTTTCTATTTATAAGGAAATGATGGTGTTAAGCTGATTTATCTAGATTCTGAGTTCTGTAAACAACGACATTATTCCGCTAATCTTGCGGTAGCTGTTGGTGAACTGTGAAGTACTGTTCCCAAAGCTTATCTCGTCATCCAATAAG